TCTCTTTCTCTCTCTCTCTCTCTCTCTCTCTCTCTCTCTCTCCACACATCCACCTACCTGACACTTTTCACCTTCACAACGCCGTTTCTGTCCACCCACAGAGACAAGTTCTGGTTCTCGTTGTGGGAAATGCTGTAGGTCACTCGTCCATTCTCACCGCTGTCTTTGTCCACGGCCTTCACCTGGGCTATGCTTGCATTGGCTGAGTTGTCAGACACAGAGTTAGTTAGTTTTTTTTAAGTTTCAGTAGTTAAAGAAAAGAAGTTTCAGTAGTTTTTACGGCGCTCGCAACTGTATAAGCTCATATGAGCGCCAAGGGGTGGATGTCAACAGAGAAGCCCGTACAGGGAATCATGTTTACTCTGCTCACCTCTCTAGCTTCAGCACCTCAAAGTCTGCCTCGACTATCAAGGCATCCCGGAAATAGTGGGTCCCAAGAGTGTGACAAACATACAAAAGAAGTAGAAGAAAATGACGATAGTAAGGGTTAGGAAAGAAGAAACTGAAGTTTCCTATTGCAATTCAGGCACAGTTATGAGCCTGACATTGATGAATCAGCCCCTTTACAATTCTACTGAGCATAAGAACATGTAAATGTCCACCCTTTGGGAGTGGCCTAAAGACCCGTCAGTCAATAGCACCGCCCCGGAAGGGGGGGGGGGGAGTTGGGCAAGGAGTGAGGGACAGAATAAATAGAGGGAGCGAATGAGAAGAGAGAAGAGTTCATCATTGAGGCAGACGGGGTGACAGTATTATTAATGTGTTGGTGAACGATTGAGAAGCGGAGAAAATGATATATGGGTCTAAGTGATTGTGTGAATGCATGTGTGTCTGAGAGAGAGAGAGAGAGAGAGAGAGAGAGAGAGAGAGAGAGAGAGAGAGAGAAAGGAAGACGGAAGAGACAGACAGACAGACAGACAGACAGTCAGACAGACAAAGAGAGAGACAGACAAAAAGACAGACAGACAAAAAGACTGACAGACAGAGCGTGAATTCATAATACACATTCAATTCGAACGATTCACTGTAGTTGAAATAAATAACTGGACGAAGATTTTGTGTTGAGATTTTGTATAGTTTGCCACCTTCATCATCATCATCATCATCATCATCATCATCATCATCATCATCATCATCATCGTCATCATCATCATCATCATCATCGTCATCACCTTCATCATCAGCATCACCATATTTATCATTATTATTATCATTATCTGTGGACCAGTCTCAACAACAGTGCAGTCAAGGCTGTCAAGCCTACTGTTAATATACAGGGTACGCAGTTGGAAAGGCAAGAGAAATTGAACTGGGCATTACCTTTGACCGCACTCTCTCGGCAAAAGACCAGGTGACTAACATTATCACCAGAGCAAGGTAAGAACTAGCTGCACTGAGAGTGATGGCTGCATATATGCACCAACGCGCCCTTATGATCATGCTTCAAGCATGTCTGTAGTGGACTATGGCCTTGGTATGCTCACCCTATCCAAAACCCCGCTACAACGCCTCGAATTCATTCAAAATAAAGGAATAAGAACTGTCCTCGGATGCACCCGTGACACAGCAGCATTCGCGATGAGATATCTGCTGGACCTACCAACGTTAACCCACTGACACAAGAAAGCACAAGTCAAGGCCTACCTACGAGTAACAGCGGGCGAACATCACCTATTGCCTATTACATCCGAAAATAGGAAACAAAGTACGCCAAAGATTAAAAAGAGGATCTTCATGGATGGTGTAGGCTGAACGAACTCTCTGTATGTGTTGTTAAATCGAGGACATAAGAAGAGGATGTGAGTGGATGAGGCCGGAGAAAGACATGAGCAACTTCATGAAGGTGATAGTTACGCTAGGTTGAGAGTGTCGCGAGTGGCCCGCGAATGCAACTAATGCAGAAATTGTGACCATCCTTGAGGAAAATTCAGTGATCGGTCATGTTGTCGTCTTCACCGACGGATCAGTGAGGCGTGGCCAGAAATCTGGGTGGGCGTTCTGTGCTCGAGTTGCCGGGAGGATAATTGAAGAAGTCTGGAGCCAACGAGTGCACTACATCGAGCATGGCAATGGAGGTTAAGGCAAAAACAGAGGCGCTGGAATGGATCAGTATGGAAGCGTATAAACATGTCCTGTTCGTCACAGGTTCGAAGAGCACCCTAGAAAAAAATCAGGATTGGGTGGCTCTACAGTGACTGGAGAGCTTCCACTGCAAATAGCCACCTCCTAAGGATTACATCGGTGTTCTGACCTGATCATGCCGGGGTGCACGGAAATGAACGTGCTGATGAACTTGCCGGCAAAGCAGCACCCAAAGGCCGAATCATGCTCGACCCACCAATGGTGATCGCCAGATGCAAGGAATGCCTTCACGACCAAGAGGAGACAGACTCCCACACACTCAGCACAATAAAAGAAAAGTATGTACGGAGCACAGGGAAAAAGGTTTTCTCCGAGGAGTGGTCAGGCGTGTCTCAAACCAGCTCCGCATAGACACAATTAGCAGGAAAACCCTGAGGTCAACGCTGGAAAGGAGAGATGAGCAGCTATGGACATGTGCTGCCTGTTATGATTCTAGCTCTGGATCCAAGTAATGCAAGTAATCCCCATCATCATCATCATCACCATCATCATCATCATCATCATCATCATCATCATCATCATCTTCATCATCATCATCATCATCATCATCATCATCATCATCATCATCATCATCATCATCGCATTGAACGTACGTTTGAGCATCGCTGTAGAGAGGTACGTCTCATAGAAGGTTTTGGTGAACACCGGCCTGTTGTCGTTCAAGTCACGAAGATGAAGATAAATAGTCAGAACTGACCCAGAACAGTCCAACCTGAGGAAATGTCACAAGATAATGGAGAGGAAGGGGTGGAAAAGGGGGGGGGGGGGTATATGTTTAATAATGTTTTTTATGCTTTCTTTTTATGTGTTAGTTTCATTGTTTTTGCTTTTTTTTGTTGGGTTGTTGTTGTTTTTGTTGTTGTTGTTTTTTTTTGGGGGGGTTGTTTTTGTTTGTTGTTTTTGTCTATTTCGTTTTGATTTTTTTGGTGCTTTTATTGTGTGTTTTTTTGTGTTTTTTTTTCTTTTTCGTGGTCTCGAGTTTTATTGTATTATGTACTCTCACATTGTGACTCGGGAAAAGGAGGGATGGGTGAAATTTGGCCAGCTTTTTAACCTGTGACACAACTCGTGACGTCATTCGTCGACACACTGGGTACGGAAATTGGCGCCGGATTTTATCTGTGGTAATGATGACCATAAAGTGGACTGCTAGAAAAACAAACGAAGAAGTCTCAGTTGAAGCAAATTGCCGACGACAGCTTATGGCGAATATACGAAAGCGACAGGCAAATTTAATTGGACACACAATGCGGAAAGAAGCATTGGAGAATATTGTAACAACAGGCGAGTTTGATGGAAGAGAGGCAGAGGCAGACAGAGGGAAAAGATACTGGACAAGTTGACAACGTGGCTGAGAGCAGCACGAACAACAGACACCATTGCTGCAAAGCAAGACAGATGGAAGTGGAGGTGCATGATCACCCACGCCAGTCGGCAAGGCTCCGGAAGATGATGATTGGTGCAAATGGTATCAAGTAAGCGCATGTGTATCTGAACTGGCTTTTCAGGGACAATTATAGGTCACAAACCACGGTAAGTTGACATCTCACTGTTCTTTCAAGCAGCAAACTCATCATTTTGTGGAACAAAACATAATGGACATTTAGTTTAGTTTTGTTTTAGAAGAGTTTTACGGCGCTCGCAACTGCATCAGGTCATATGAGCCCCATGGGGTGGGTGTCAACAGAGAAGTCCATACAGGGAATCAGGCTTACTCTGCTCACCTCTCTAGCCTCAACAGCACAAAATCTGCTTTGACTATCAAGGCACCTCGGACATTGCGGGACACAAGAGTATGACAAACATACAAAAGAAGTAGAGGGAAAATGATGATAGTAAGGATTAGGAAAGAAAAAGCAGCAGTTCCTGTTGCAGTACAGGCACAGTTATGAACGTGACATTGATGAATCAGCCAATTTACAATTTTACTGTTCATTAGAACATGTTAATGCCCCTGTCCCCTCCCCCCACCCCTTGGGAATGGCCTAAAAACACTTCAGTCAGTAGCACCGCCCTGGTGGGGGGGGGGGTAGGATCGATATTTGCAGTTCGATAGAATTATCACAGCAGGAAAATAACTGGTCGAATAGGTTGTCTCGGTCGTTTACAATGGCAGTGCATGTAACAAAGGTTGGGTACGCTCCTGCATACGGACAACAAGACAAACATAAGTAAATATATGTCTCACGTGCTGAAACA